TTCTGACCAAACGTAGATCGCACGCAATAGAAGCTCCAGCTTCTACATGTAGGGTTGGCGGCCGGAGCTTCTATTTCGTGCGATCTACGTTTGATCCGGAAAACTCCCCCCCCCCCAAAAAAAAACCCAGCCGATCCGGGAACGCCTGAAAAGGAGGCTAGAACTGCACACGACTCGCACACAGTAGACTGTTATTGCACTTCACAAATCGCCAGAGGTCGCTGCTACACGGTCCGCATGCGGGGTAGTGTCAATACAACATCTAAAAACTTGAAACTTGAAACGGCGAAAGGTAACAAGAAACAATAATTTCGGTAGCGCTGTGGGGAATCTTACTACGAGCGAGACGCTTGTTTTATCACGGAAATGGCACGGTTCAAATGATGTCCACAATTCTGCAGTTAGTGGACTGGGAGAAAGGGGGCGCTAAAATGTGACCCTAAAAAAGGCTGAATTAATGAGATGCGTGACTGGGGAAACCGGAAGTAAACGTGGACGACGGAGCTGGATTGTCGTCTGTTTGATAGCAACAGTTTTAGCGTTATTACAGTCTTTACAGGACAGCTGGGTTAATTCTGGACTCACAATGGCTACTGTGGAAGAACTACAGACCAGAATAAAACAACTGGAGGAAGAATTGGAGCAAGAAAGAGCTCGGAATCGCGGCGGAACCGATGGGGGAGGGGGGCGGCAGAAGATCGACCAAATGAGCTCGGAGGTTGTGGACTCAAACCCCTACAGGTTTGGCGATGCTTCGATGTCACGGGTCTTAGGTATTAAATACTACAAGGTTTAGGCAAAAGGAGAGCAGGATTATCCTTTGTAGCGTATAAATTGGCATCTAACTGATAGCTGGATGCTAATATCACCGACCATATGGGAACTTAACACCTGCAAATGATTATGCACCTGCAAAATGCAACCCCTGTGATATACTACTCACCTTATCTTTATTTTCTAACGTTAACGTTATACCTCTTCTACTATAAAGTATGTTAATATTAGTATTACGGTACTTTTAACCTTTTTTTTCTTACCCGACAGTCGACTAATGGCTCTGAAGAGAATGGGAATAGTAGACAACTATGAGGTAATATTTTTTATTGTATCTATATACTCATATATATACTCAGATATACATACTCAGATGTTACTATAATACCTTATACAATTTGTGTCAACTCGCAATTGCACATTACTTTTTTGCTCTACCTTTGGACTGCCAGATTTTACCATTTGTTCAAACATGTAACGTTAAAGAGTAACCGTTATTTTAGAAAGAATGCACAATGTATATAAAAATGTGTACGCTTTTGTCCCTGCAGAGAATTCGTGATTTTACGGTAGCGATTGTGGGTGTTGGAGGGGTCGGGAGTGTCACTGCAGAGATGCTGACCAGATGTGGGATTGGGAAGGTAAGGCTGCTCAGGAACCTATCTATGTAAACCCTGGTATGGCCAGGGGGAGTGGGGGCTATAGGATATGACAATAAAAATCCTACGTTACATATGCAATTAGTATGTCAATTCATGTACTGTTTTATTGAAAGTCTTTGATGTACTAGTACAATGTGTTGTAGTCATGATGCTTTTCGTAGAAAATATCACTGTATTTATACTTCATTTCTCACCTTATAGACAGCCCTTAGCCACAAAATTTGCATTGATTTCATTGAATTTTGTGTTTCAGTTGTTGCTGTTTGACTATGATAAGGTAGAACTGGCCAACATGAACCGACTGTTCTTCCAACCTCACCAAGCAGGGCTCAGTAAAGTCCAGGCAGCAGAAATTACACTCAGGTGTGCTTTTAAAAGTTTTAGCCCAAATTAGATACACATATTTCCCAACACAAAGAAAATTGCTGATTTTTTAACAATTTGGCAGATTCCGCAATCTTTGTTAGGCCTAGGAAAATCAATGTTGTATTTGCGGTTTCAGTCAAATGGACAGTCAATATTGATTGCATGGAAAACTTGGGATCTTATTGTAATATTGTAGATAAGAATAATCTGATCTGTTTTGTCTATTTTTAGAGATATCAATCCAGACGTTGAGTTTGAGACACACAACTACAACATCACTACTGTAGACAACTTTCAGCACTTTATGGACAGAATAAGGTGAGTAACATTGTACAGCTGCAATCTAGAATCATGTTTATTTACATGTGATGAATTCTCTTGAACCATGAGCTATTTAGTGGCATGACTTGTACATATACATAACCCATTACTACAGGTATTAGGGAATGGAGTTACAATAACAGGCCTTTCATCTAAAAACAATGTACTGCCCAAGATGTGTAAGATTTTGTTTGATTGTTTTCTCTGCAGCCATGGTCACCTGCAGGGAGACCGGCCTGTGGACCTAGTTCTCAGCTGTGTGGACAACTTTGAGGCTAGAATGGCCATCAACACGGTACAATTGCCAATCCACAGTTTCCATTTTGGAACACAGTAGTGCTTCACTCAAGCTATACTCATTCCTCTACATACACATGTGATGCAAGTAAAACAAGGAATTCCTTTAAGTGGAAAGTAGATGACACAGTTCTCAAGTGGAAATTTGAATAAATGTTCAAATTATTTTTAAAAGTTTTCAGAACTTCAATCTGTAGCCCACAGAAGCATGGCTTAGTGAAAAGCATGGTACAGGAGTACATTGTATACATTTACATATTTATGCAAAACTTTTCCCTTTATTGTACCATGCAAAGGTTCTAGATTTATTGCTGTATCTTGACACTGACATTATTTTACTGTCTTTATTCCATAGGCTTGTAATGAACAAGGCCAGGTGTGGATAGAGTCAGGAGTGAGTGAAAACGCAGTGTCTGGACACATACAGGTTATCAAGCCTGGGGAGACCGCATGTTTTGCTGTAAGTAGTGACTTGACATGTTTGCAATGTTTTCTGACACATCCATGTATTTCATCATTATTCAAGCTAGCCTAGAGAGCCCATAAGTGAGTTTACTACCTGTTTTCCAGTGTGCCCCACCGTTGGTGGTTGCATCAGGTATTGATGAGAAGACCCTGAAGAGAGAGGGAGTGTGTGCAGCCAGCCTCCCAACTACCATGGGCATCGTGGCTGGCTTTCTAGTACAGAACACTCTCAAGTAAACATATCTCTTGTATTAACTCAAAACCAATTCTTCAGATATAAAATGGCACAGTATGTTATGATGAACTTTTCACATCTTAATCTTTATTTAATGTTGCATAACTGAAAGTGTTGGAAGAGAAATTGTTACCCTAACTTTTGTCTATAGGAAGCCCTTTCTTGCTTACACAATTGACAACAAATGCTGGCTACAGGCTATGTGGGGTGGCTTGTTTGCCATCCTAAGATGAAGAATTTTAGGCTATGGTTGTGATACCAGGATGACGTTTGTACACCTTACAGATACCTGCTGGAGTTTGGCAGTGTTACATACTACCTGGGCTACAATGCCATGCAGGACTTCTTCCCTTCCATGTCCATGAAGCCCAACCCAAACTGTGACGACTCCTACTGTACAAAACTGCAGACTGAATACCAGGTAAACTATTGGGTACTACCTTTGTCTTCACACAACTGTTAACAATACACTCTTCAAAGAACCCTGAAAAAGGTATTAACAATGTTTCGGTTGAGTGTAGAGGGAGGACACTCACACACTCACTCACTATCCTGGTTTTGTGGACGAAGAAAGAAATCATGGGCACTGCTTGGGAAAATAGAGATGTAGGAAAGGCCACAAGAAAACAACAGAATAATCCCTGAGCAAAACTTCGTTTGGAGTTTTTACACATTAGAATTAAGAGATAGAGTATGATGTGATAACAGTAGTTTGTATGTTGTGTTGTTCAGGAGAAGCTGGCAGCTCAGCCTAAAGAGGAAGTTAAAGAAGAGAAGGTAGAGGAGGTGGTGCATGATGCTAATGACTGGGGTAAGTAAACATCACTCACAGCAAACAAGGTATAAGATGGAAACATTTTCTTTTGTTGTACATCATCTAGTAGTCTCTGCTTATGTCTTCCACACACTTCTTTATCAAGTTCTGCTTGTATAGCCAAAGTACATTTTTTGTTGCATTTATGATGACAAGTCTTTTGCTTTTAGCCATAAGCAAAGAAATCCTGTATGAAAAACTGTTCTGTCATGATCAACATTGCAAGTCAGGGCCTCTTTGCTTTCTTATTTAGGCCTTAAAAACACAAGACATCCAATACGTCTTAAACCTAGTTAAGTGAATAAACTGAAACACTCATGAATGATGAGTACTGTTTGTTATTGTCTAATATATTGCATGTTGGAGATCTAAACAAATATAAACCTCCTGCAGGTATAGAGTTGGTAGCAGAAACAACAGAAGAAGAACTAAAAGCGGCGTCACAGGGACATGTGCCTGAGTTGGTGGAGGGGGTGCATGTAGCCTACATCAGACCAATGACTCAGGAGGTAACTTTGACCTTGTACTATTCTCTAAATATTACATTACAACACATTAATGTTGAGATAGAAGGAAATCAAACGTTAAGCATATTTTTCAGACTTTGACTCATGGCAGACATTAACTGACAGTTAGAACATAGGCATGTCACTGCAAACATTGCTGAGCACATATGCTTGCACAAAACATGGAAAATAATGTGCATCGCAATTTGGCAAAACGTTTCGTGTTTGCATATACATGTACATTTATGAGGATGATATCACGTCTCTAGTTACCAAATGCTGTGTCGGCATACATATTCAAGAGACAAAATTCTAATGTTTGTTGACGAAACATCCAACAGAAACCGTGATTATGCCAATGTGCTCCAATGTCACAAACTCAAATCAATCAAATTAGTTTATTGCACAAAAGCATATTGCAGCTCATTTACAATCTGACATTGGAATAATAAACTAATTGTAGCAGTGTGCAACAAATCTAAAATCACACTAAATGTAGTATTTCAACAATACAGTGTATGTAGCTATACAAACTTAGTCAACTAATAATAGCTTGTAGATGATTTGTCTGGGGGAAGTCTCAGTACATTAGGTAGGCAGTTCATGTCAGTTTGTAACTGCAGCTGTTGTTGTGTCCTGTAGGATGAGGAGGGAGCCTCGGGGCTGACAGTTGACGATCAGGAAAGTCTGGAGGATCTCATGGCCAAGATGAAGAGTATATAGCACTGCATTCTGGGAGAAAGCAAGGCATGCTGGATATTTGGATGAAAAGTTTTACTACTAAATGGAACACAAAAAGCAATCATTTTGTGTACCACGCTTTCGAAGTAAACCTAAAATGTCACAAAATACACAGTATAATCACAGAATTTGCTCTGAATGGCTGAAACTGATCTGAAAATTAGCAAATAAAAAAGGAAGGTTCTGTGTAACATGAGCATTCCATGAAGAGGCCACAGCTTGTCAAGTTTAGAATGATCTGTTACAACTCACACAGTGCCAACAATATGTATTTCAGACTCCTCACAACATGCACAGTTATGTTGGGCATGAAATGTTTGGAATACAATTGACTGGAAAAACAAAAGATGTATATCTATGGTGAGGACCACACACTGTCCTTGCAGCATGCTGGACTGTTAACAAAAATAAAAGTCAATGGTAACAACAATGACCTAAAGGTGGAATTGATGTAGAGTTGTTGCAGTCCTGCCAAGATTTTGATGAAGCATGATAAAACATTCCGTAACATTCAACAATGTTGGACTTGATACATGACAACAGTAACCTTACTGGGGGTTGCCTGGTATTACAAAAGGATATCAGTTCATGTTTTTGTTCTTGCCTAAAAAGTACAAGCTGACAGAACCGTAAATGTCTTGTAACAACAGTTGTGAGTTCTGGGAAAAAGGCTTGGTCAAACAAATGTAACAAGAGTTCCACGATCTCATACCTTCGCCAAATGATGTTAACCCTTGTGGTTGACAAATTATACAATTTTAATCATTGATTTTGTAAATAAGAACCCCATTTGCATGGATTATATCAGTTGATCATATTCTACACCCAATGACAGCCTTATCTTAACAAAAATGCTATTATAGCACTTCCTCATAAATTATGCAAATGAGGCCATGATTGAATAAATTATGTTTGTTGATGTTCACCTTCACTTAACTTCCAAATGTGGCAAGTATGAAATTCCCAGCAGTTACAACTATGAAATTATAAAATTTTGCCATTTATTATGCAAATTAGGTCCTCATTTACATAATCTATATCCTCAGATGTTTTTTCTCGTTCTCACAAATGTCACAAGTGTTTCATAGGTCTATTATCAAACAAAGCAGATTTATAGAATTTCCTCATTAATTATGCAAATTAGCTCCTGATTTGCATAATTGTCATCTGATCATGTCAAGCATCACTTCAACTACCTACATACCAAAAATCACGACAATCCGTCAACCGGTTCTTGAATTATCCTCCTTCGAAAAATTTTCAACAAGTGCTCCTGCAGTTCCAGAACAAGCCGCTAGGGGACCCAAACTCATGTCACTTCTTCCCTATCCCAAGAGCTATCTGCCATCCAAAATTCGTGACCCTAGCATGTCCAGATCACGAGATATCAAAACCGGAAGTTCTGCTGCAGTACCTAGGAAAGCCACCAGGGGGCCCAAAATCTAATCACGTCTAGGTCTCATGAAGACCTACCCACCTACCAAGTTTCATTCCAATCCATCCACCGCTTCTCGAGTTATCTTGCTAAACCACACACACACACACACACAAACCCACACACACACAGACAAACGCTACTGAAAACATAACCTTCTTGGCGAAGGTAACAAATATACAATTTTTTGCATAGCAACTTTGCTTCACTGCCATTAAGAAAGCAGCATATACATGTAGTAAGTTCAATGTAGCTGCTAGGTAACACAAATACATTGAATTACATTATTTATGAGTAAACGGAGGTCTAATCCTGTCTAAACCCATCTCATCCATTCATATCTTGGTGCATAAATCCTAGGTACATTCCTAGGCAAAAAGGATTCCCCCTATCACTACATCTTGATGCTATATTTCATAGTTGCAGTTTCATCATGTTTTTGGAAAGTCCCAGTGTGGGTCAAATCCAATCACCATCGTCTCAATGACAAAAACAATGAAGCCGTGGTAGATTTCCTCGTACTTGATGGTGAAGCGATCCTCCAAACACTCCTGTACGGTAGTGAGGAAAGCAGTCTCTATCGCCTGTAGGGTGTTGAGAAAGAAATAGATTACGTTTTCTTTTGATCATCAACAAAATTTAAAGCTGATCACTATCTCAAACTGTTGACAAAAATGTACTTACTTTTTTACCTCCAAGATGGCCACCTTGGACAAGAATTGACTACCTTTCGCTAGAGTACTAAATATTGCAGTAAGATACATGTATAAGGAAGTAAAAGCAGGAAAAGATGAACCAGTCCAAGCAGACGTACCCACACATCCTCTGGTGTCATGACATTCATGTCAGAGTGCTGACGGCCGAGTTTTGTCAGCTCACAGATCACGTGATCAAGGTCGCCCAGGTTATCTATGATGTAATCCAGACTGTCAAATATACGATCTCCTGCACAAGGGAAAATATTTTTGTCATTCAACATTAGGTATCATCAGATTTCCCTGTCAGTTGTAAAGATAATTAAAAAATGAAATCCTCATGCAAAACTGGTACATCATATTTCTTATCCCTCATAACATTACATGCAAGCAAAAAAAACAAAACCATGATTATCTATTACTCCTGCAATTTATTCTGTTGTCAAAGTCACAAATGAAAGCACAGTTTCATTTCCAAGCAAAACTGTTGAAGATATCACTTGCTCCTTAAACAAATGTAAGAATCATGTCCAATCTGGGATAGAACAGAGTCATTCAGCACTGAGGTGAAGAAGGTTATTCAGCACCAAGGAAAGGGACAGTACAGGGTGGGGAAATGTTCTTCGCCAAGAAAAGGGATGGTACAGGATAGTAACGGGTGGGGGAAGGCAGTTCAGCACCAAGGAAAGGGAGGACACAGGATAGTACAGGGTGGGGGGAGGTACTTCAGCACCAAGGAAAGGGACAGTGCAGTATAGTTCAGGATTTGGGAAGATCTCTCTTACCCAAGAACTTGACGTAAGGGTTAGTTGGTATCTCCTCATCAGTAAGGAGTTTTAGCCTTGGCCACTTTCGACGTAAGCCAGGGTTGTCCTGTAGCATTCTGTGAGAACAAATGCGTGATAATCAATAGTTAATTACTATGTGTTTTGAAATCTATTACGCATCAAAAGTGTAAATTCTGTAGACTGCAAATTGTACTGAACTGGACTGGCCTGATTAAGTATGGAATAGATCTAGTCTGGAAGTTGAAATCTACTGTGATTTGCTGGTACATGTATCCATGGATGAAGGCCAAACCACTGATCGCTCTCACATTTTTATTATAAAGCACAGAAGAGCACAGCATTGCGGGTATGCTAATCTTTTTTAAGCCTTTGTCCATACATAACTGTGTCGTGACGGGGACATGACTCCCACAGCTGTACATAATCAGCTTAGCCATGATTTCATGATCTTAATACGCTACTAGAAAACCCTACAGTTTTTAGGAAATTTGTACTGGGCAGTTTTAAGTACATCTGCTCCCATAGATTTTCCCAGTTCACTACACGTAGTAACCAAGGCTGCCCATAATGTTGTATATTTACCTAAGAAACATGGTGCTGGCTGCCTGGTCTCCTTTCCTGGCCACAGTCTTCCAGGATTTCTGCAGGTAAAACTTCTGCCAGGCGTCCAGCGGCAGACGCCAGTCCTCCCGAGCACCAGGGCTGCGGTAAAACTCGGAACGATCCTTCCTTTTCCTAAGTAGGAAAATAATAAAACCAGCTACCTTTAGATTTAGACGTGTATTAAATTCTATGGATACGTAATGCATTGAGACACTTGATGTTCTGTCGGCAAAAGGTGTGTAGTTTTGTTTGCAAAGTAATAAAAAAATTCAAGCAGATAAAGCTATAATAAGTATATTTCAATCGACGTCTATATTCTACATACATTGTATTGACGTTTTCCCTACCTTACAACTGAGAGCGTCTGGGCGTCTGTTGACATGTCACATCCCATGTTGATTGGAGGCTTCTTTGTTACTTCAGATTCAGCTGAATAGTTTTCAACGGTTTTCACTAGAGCACCAACAGAAATGACTGTTGTGGGTTTCAGAGACATGCATTTGAAGGTTACCCAATAGTGATTCATTTAAGATGTGTGAACTCTACTCTAACCTTAGGACTGCCTTACATGTAAACCTGTTTTACGTACACGCGTGAAAAGAGCTTAGTGTGTAGAAAGGGCATGACCCAACATTAGCCTTGACAATGACAACATCAACGCATTAAAACAGGGCCAATAAAAGTGATTTCTGTCAGGATTTACTGCAAGACGTGCAGTTTTTTTATTTTCTTTCTGCTCCGAAAACGACAATTTGAATGAAAAGGACTGGCTTTTCCTATTACATAAGGCTGAGAGGGTGGCTTGGGGAATAAATTGTTTTGTGAAATTCTATTAATCTACGTTGTAAGGCTGTTAGAATTGGCCAGACTAATATGAATGTATTTAGGTCGACAGAGCGCTTGTAGTTGTGTGAAATGATTGTCTACTGACTAGTTTGATTGTTCCACAACTATATAGCCCATGGGTAGGTCAGAGCAACAGTCACAAAACAGTAAGACTGATATTCCTGATATTGTGAGCGTCGTCACAAGAAGAGCGGTACTGGAGATGTAGTCGGCTCTGTAGATGTTCTGACTCTGATGGATCCAGTAACAGCTGATGATTCTGACAGCGGCACCGGCTGTAAAATACCCACCAACACACAGGACACACAGACAGACCTGTCTCATCCTGACTCTACAAAAGAACCTGTAGTTCAACCTGAGATTCAATCCCAGCGCCGCTCTTACCGGGCCGGTCTAGAGGGACAAACGGACATCTCACCCGGACACGTGGGAGACCCGTTACCGGACGTCCATAACGCTTCGTTTGAACAATATGATCAAGATAACGGACCTAATTTCCACCCTGACAACGGTGAAGCACATTCACCGCTACAGGCAAACGTTGCAAATATATACTATACAAACGGTGGAAAAACTGAACAGAATCAAACACTTTATGTTGATAATCCACTGGTAGAATCAGAAGAACCGCCAAAAGACATCTACGATACTGAAGGTCATAACACACAAAGCGTAGCGCAACACCGACTGTTGGGCACCTGTCACAGAGAAACACCAGCCTCTGTCTATCAGTCCGGTCGAGATGCCGACGATGCCTGTATGGACAGACCAGGTGTCGGGATCTGTGAGACAAACAGCAAAGCAGAAGACATCGATCATAGTGACATTGAAACAGAGACTGTCGTTAAACAGTTGAAGGATGTTGAAAACTCTAAAACAGACAGTGGTGAAGCCATGTCTGATGACGAGTGGATCCGTCCATATGCAGTGGCGTATGATCAGTTCGGTTACAGCAGGACACATGACGAACAAGGGGATGTTTTCCCCGATGTCCAGCCGTACGCCGTTGCTTATGACGATGATAAAGAACATTATGAAAACCAAACATCTACCGGCCTTGCTGTTGGCAATGGGGGCGACGAACTACGCCCCAACCCTAATAATGGGAACGCGTTACTTCCAAACCCTATGTACAGTGGTAACGTGTTACATCCCAACCCTATGTACATGGGTAACGCGTTACTACCCAACCCTATGTACAGTGGTAACGCGTTACTACCCAACCCAATGTACAGTGGTAACGTGTTACATCCCAACCCAATGTACAGTGGTAACGTGTTACATCCCAACCCTATGTACAGTGGTAACGCATTACATCCCAACCCGATGTACGTCCCAAACGGTGCACAGCCAAGGACATGTGGAGGTAAGACATGTTACCAAAATTCTTCCACTTAGTTACATGACTCTGCTAAAATGTCATTGGGAACAATCGCATACCTATTGCTAATTGATGTAAATTGCAGTGTACAGTACCAGTATAAGGTACAGGCGGTTTTAAAACACCTTTTTTATCACCTCTGTCAAGCAGGTTGTGTCTTAGCTAGTAGTGGGGATTAAATGGTTTCTAAACGGTTTGGCTCAAAATGGTATGGCTGTTTTTTATTTTTACTTTTCTATAGAGGGTAGAAGGTAGTAGAAACAACCTTTCATTAAGAAAAGGTCTTCCTTTCTGTTTTTCTTTCCAGGTCAAATTAATGGTTGCGTTATCACTACAGGTGTGACCTTTGTGATACTGATGATTTCTGTAGCTCTCATTGGAATCTTCGTGCCTGGGAATTCGAAGCAAGACAGTTTAAGGGCAACAGTGAGTTGTACTTCATTTGTATTTTCGTACACATAGTAATGATGCTATTTCTTTGTTTACTTACGGTATGTATATTACATGATTGTATTTTTATTATCCATTTTCAATATATTGTAGCGTATGTGGTCCAGTGGTTAGTGACCCTCTCTCCGGAACTAGAGGTTACTCTCCCAACATGCACGCTCAAGGAAAGGAAACATGCACCTAACCAATAAACTAGCCAATGGCAGTGAACCTGTTAAAAGTTGCTTGAGGATTTTTTCCTACACATTATTCTTGTCATTACACATGTAATGTATACATTTCTTCCTTGTCACGACCAGTGGAAAAACTTGGCCTTCTGAGACCTGAACTGGTTTGCAATTTTTTTTTCTTTCGGTTTTGTCTCAGACCTGGCCGGACCTCACTTTCACAGGTAAAACTACAGACCAAAGCCGACATGTGGACAACACGTCACCTCAACCAACCAGCACTGAAGGTAATACATACAGGGACTTTACACACGCATTGGATGGGGGAAGAAAATGCCCAGAGCCTGAATGATCATTATGAAGAAGCCCATACTAGACAGTCACTTGTTGTGCCTTGCACCAACACTGAAACTCTTACGTCAATTTACCGTAACAATTATTAATGTAAGAGAAAATACGTTGATGATATGACTGTAACAGTAGATTGATAGATAACTTGATCTTTTTCTTTCTCAGGAAAAGAAACCGATGAGCTTGAGGTGAAACAAACGACAATTGTTTTCGTTAGAATGGGACATGAACCCGGCACGTTTAATGGGAGAGAAGGTGTTGTCGTGTCGCCTAGCAATGAGATATTTATAAGTGACGGCTTGAACAAGCGAGTTCAAGTGTTCAGCATGAAGGGCGTCCACCTTCGACAGTTCCCCACCATCACGTCAGAAAGCGACTGCCGGTCGATTTTACCCAAAGACATTTCCATCGACGGGAAGGGCCACCTGTGGGTGATCGGTGACTGTAGACCGTCACCGTCAGGACGCATTGTTCGGTATACAGAAACGGGACATCACATAACAACCCTTCACCCCTCCCTGCCTAACAATACTTTCTTTGGCATCGCAGTGGACGCACTTCGCAGTCATGTGGTAGTGACAGAAGCCTGGCTTGACTATTCAGTAGTAAAGGTTCTGCATTTTAGCGGCGCGGTTGTTCGCGAGTTCAGGGTCCAGCAAGGTTCGGATCACGTAGAAGCGGTCACTGTAGGACAAAACGGAAACATTTTTGTAACCGACCACTGGTCAGAGGTTCACGTGCACGTGTACAGTGAAACCGGCCGTTATCTGTTCAGGTTTGGAGATGAAGAGAAACTAACAGAAGTCACAGGAATCCGTACAGACAGTTCCGATAACGTTCTTGTAGCGGACGGGGTCGGTGGGAAAGTGGAACTGTTTACAAAGGACGGGCGGTACGTTCGCACAGCCGCTTCTGGTTTGTTCTTTGCGGACAGTGTAGCAGTAGCGCCAGGGGGACAGCTGGTAGTAACTAATGGTGAAAATAATACCGCCACTATATTCCCACACTACTGATGATTGAAATCTTTGTCTTCAGATGATGAAAACAATCTGAATGCAGTTTTGAGCATATCTCACTTGCCCTTCTCTTTTTCTAATTCCCGTTCAGGACTTCAAGAAATCATAGACTATTATGGACACATTGAAGTACGTTTTGTAAATGATCCCATCCCTGAGGCGTCGCCAAAAATCACATCGTGCATGGGCTTTCTTTTAAATTAGTACTTTTGTAACGTAGTAATGAGTGTATGTAATGTTAGATCTTGATGTATGACGACGCTAGCATACTGTTAAGCTGATTTATCGTTCTGTCCTTAATCAAATCTCCTCTTATTTGGAACTTTTATTCAACCTGATTTGTCAGGATAGTTTTGCCGATTTGACTTCTTTTTAGGTCAGGTATGACGTGACGAAATATGTCTGAGACATGCTTTTTCAAAACGTCGCAAGATGCAGGACCTTTCGGATCAAACAGAATTATTTGACCCAATTTTCGTCTGCACGAATTAATCAAGGTTCAGAAACCGAGGTCCGAGAATAATTACTATTAATTTGTCTTGTGTGTGTTTAAGTCATTGGCTAGACTCAAACTGATCTAATTTGTATCGAGATCCCGATTGAAAGGGATTGTTTATTGATATGTTTGAATGATTTTACGTTGATATCAAAAACTGTGCGTGGAAGTACATGAATAGCTAGAAAAGAATGCTAGTGCACTCTAAATTCTACGTCTGTCGTGTGGCGTATACGTATGATATATAAATTTTATATATCATACGTATACGCCACACGACAGACGTAGTTTCTATCATTGTCGTGACAATCTGTGAAACGAGCAATAAACTGATTTGTGGTAATTTTCTGGGTACCAATGTTTTCTTAAGAGATAGTTGAATTTGTAACCATCTGTTTAAATGCGAAATAAAGTCTATAGTAATACAAACTACAGATTTTCAAGTGTTTATCTGCTGTGTAGTTATAAAGTAATAAATTTAGGGGTGCCAAAGAATTTATCAGAATTTTACGGAATTCATACGATCTTTACTAGGAAACATACGAAGTTTACGGAATCCATACGATCCATCACTAGAAACATACGAAGTTTATGGAATACATACGATCCTTACTATTATATAAATTTGGGGTCATTTGGTGACTTGCCGCCGCGATCACTAGTTTCACCGATTCCCAGCCTCGTCCTGCTATTAGGTCTAAAATACAGGCTACTTATATCTATGTCGTGAAAGAAGCCAGCATAAGTGCAGTTTGGGGTTTAGCAGGGCAGGATAAGCCCTTAAAAGTCTTTGAAACCAAGATATTGTAGGGAGAATATCGCTATGATAGTCCGCCATCTTGAATTTGCTGCAAATTAGTAAGGATCGTATGTATTCCGCGTAATGGATTGGAGTTATCTTGGAGTCAGTGCATTCGCATGGCTTCATGGGTAGTTACCACATGACACATGCGCTTGTCGCGAGCTAATTAACATAACGTAAATATTTCTCTGGGAAAAATTAAACAATTTATTTACTTGTGACACGGTTGGAACCTCTTTGTCTCACATGGTTCCTACTTCCACTCATTTGGGTACATTGCTGAACTATTGTACACACTAACACCGCAGTACGTTACGTATGTGTTTCAATCGATGCAAAATTACCGATATCATAGAACACACAAGGATCGAAAGCAGCAAAATATGATATTAAATCTGGTTATTTCCTTCAAACGTGCGTCTAGCTACGTTAAAAATAGGTAGCAATGTGGAATTCTTGATGTGATCACATTTTGTAGCTGAGAAAAGTGGCGAAAAACGTAGGAAAGCTGTGCTCCAGAGTTCAGCACCAAGGACAGGGCTAATGTGGTTTTCTCAATGATTTTGCCCCTCTCCCAACCTCTTAACTAGGAGAATTCAATTAAATGACACAAATGATGACACATAAAGAGAGATGGTTATTCAAGAGATGGTTTTATTTTCAAGAAAACATGAAAGTTTTATTTTTTTTCTGTTACTCATTGTCATAATCATGACAAATCTTCAAGTCAAAGATAAAATGAATTATTCTTTCATTAGAAGTCAGAATATTTTTTGTAGTTCAAGTAACAAAACTATTCACAAATAATCATATTCTTCAATAGGATAGAAATCAGAACAATTCCCTAATTCTATACAGTTTAATACATGCAACTCTCTGGTAGAGTTATACAGGAAAAACACATAGTGCTAGCACAAGAAGTGCAATAACTAATACAACTTTCAAGTTCAACAAAGTTCAGTATTCTACTGGCAATCATGTTGCCAGAATTTTAGGGGAAAAAAGTAATGGATGTAATATATGTTTGTATATCATGACCTTCAAAATTCAACAATTACTTGTATTTTCTTAACTTACTACACAAAACTTTAACTGTACAAACCTAAATGCACTGTGGTATAATATACACATTGTGAATTTTCAAACTATCATGTGCCAAGCTGAGCTCCATTGACAGTAGTAATAACAGAAGTTTCCCTAATTAAAAAGGTGCATATTTAACGATGAAAATCAATGATTGTTATAAAAATTTAATAGCATTCCAGAATGAATGTATGTGGATAGAATAGAACAGAGTAACATTTGTATCAGAAGTGTTAAAAAATAACTTTGATGCAAGAGTTTAACATTATACTATAGAAAAGGATGAGTAGCACAAAATCAGTGTCATTCTTATTATTTTAAGTTACTATTTTTTCTAGGCACAACAAGGGTGACACCAACAGAAATTCAAAAATATTTCAGGTATGAGAGCTTGATAAGCATCAATATCACAATAATATGAAGAAATTTTTTTTACATCTCAGGTGGTGGAAGAAAGGCTAAGCAGAGTTGGGGACCAAATTCACAGTTTATAAGAATAAACCAATTAAAAAGTATTTTCCAGAAAGAAATCAAAGCAGAAGTATGCCTCTCTGGCATCATAGATTTGTAACATATAAAATTTTAGCATGTTTGGAGGAAGCTTATTAGTCATTTTAAAACTTTTGACAGGAGGTACATAGCATTCAGAAAAATATACTTTCATTGATTATATGTAGAAGTTGGGATAGTACAACTCTGAGTGCTTAAGTGGTGGTCTAGTCATTTAACTTTTGACAGAAGATACATAGCATTCTTATAAATATACTTTCATTGATTATATATAGGAGTCGGTGATACAAGCCGTTAGTGCAAAACTGTTCAACAGCAATTCAATGTTTTAACATTTGACGCAGGTTGTATGTCTTAGCATCAAGATAAAAGAGGCAAACTAATCAGGAAATGCAATGCAAGGAGGCTGCATGAAATAGAATTATATTAAAGTTTTGAAAAAAAAACAAGCTGCTAAGGCAGGAAGAGAGGGCCCTGTGGTGATACAGATGTCTTCTGTGACATCAGAGGATCTTAATTGTGACATTCAGAAGGAGCAGCATTGTGTGAGATATCAGCATATTGTGTAATGTTGTATTAGATTGTTTGGTCAATCAGATGATACAGGTCCACAAGTTTTACTCAGTTTCCTTTTTTGTAGCATTTAAGTTTATTTTTATACATCTTTCTATAATTGTGGTATTTTTTTCTCATAACCTTGGAAAACAAACTGAACCTGGCATTACTGTTCTAATTTGAAGGTGATAAAAGATTAGGCCAATGTAGCTGTCAAGTTTAAGTTGTAAGCTGTAAGTTTTGAAAAGAAGACATCTTTTATGGTTAAGAATTATGAAGAACAGACAATAGAAAAGAAAGGTTATAGATTATTCAATGTCATAATTTTTATACAAACTTCTTCGATATGCATTTGAGAATTTCAGAAAGGTCCTATGTTACTGCTATCAATACTTAAGTACTAAAAACAAAATGAAATCAATCTAAAGTCAGGTAAAGAGGACTGTATAATATGAGAAATGTTTCATAATGATTATATTGTAGGAAGGAAATTAAGGTAGGATGAGAGAACAGTAGATGTCTATGGGAGGATCTTAATTGGGACATTCAGATGGAAGGAGCGGCATACTGAATCTAGTGTACAGTTAGAAAAACCTGAACTTTGGCGCAGGGTGTTAGATTGTTTGATCAATCAGATGTAGGTCCAGGAGTTTTACTCAGTTTCCTTTTCGGTGACATTTAAGCTTACTTCTACACATCTTTCTATAATTGTGGTGAGAGCACTATATAATATGGAAACTGATTTAACATTATTTTACAGGAGGGAATTTATTTTTAAGTCAGAAAAGTAGCAAATATTTTGTCATGGTCAGGAAATGACAACATTCCAGACTACACACACCATATTATACTAGATCTGTTCATTTCAGATCTGCTTAATTGCAAATTTCAACATTTTGAGAGAAAAGATATTAGGAACTTTAAGAAAAAATAATTTTCATTCAAGTGTATGAGATAAAGGACTAACTGACTGTGCCAAAATAACTTTGGCTGGCAATATCATCATTAAGAAGGGATAGTCATAATCACTTTGATGATAGAAACAACAGCTGGGATGCAAGTCAAGTCTAAGCAGAGAAGCGATCAAAGCTTTATGGAGTTTGAGTTGTCACAAAAGTTATAGATTGTCTGTGACATCAGAGTCCATGCAGCACATGCAGAACTTGTGCTGAGCCTTGTACAATGTAGTAGTGCAAAGCCGACCGGAATATAGACTGATACCATTAGGTTTGTTCCCAACCTAAGTTCAAAATTTGATGAAAAATACTTTGTACAGCGAGTACAAATCATATATAGCAGAATAAGAGGTTGTAGTTAAAAAAATATACAACACTGAGAAGAAGCATACCTCAAAACCTAGTACCTCTAGAGCTTGTTATGAATAATTGTCATTCAAAAGGGCCAAAAGCCATGATTGGTTAATTTTTTCTTTCACTTTGCTGTAAACACTGACAGAAGCAGACAGACAGGATAGACACTGTCAATAGTTTGTCACATGTACTTCATATCTTTAGAGCTGGTATTTTAGAAATAGACCAAACATCCATCAAG